TAAGTAACATACAATAGCACTGGGCCATATATTTCCATATATTTTATGTGTATGGTTTGGATTATTTATTTTCAAAAGAATGTACCAACTTTTATTTTTGTAGTGTTTTCATTGTTCACATTGAGATTAGAACACAAACAGAAAAAATGAAAATGTCAGTTTCCTAAGTAACTTTTGCCTTAGGATTTTGAACTGATAACATGACCTGTATGTCTCTCTTGAAATAGAGAATTGGAAAGATTTACAGAATATTTAACCAAAAAAGAGAAGAAATCATATTTCCATATCCTACCACACACCCATTAAATCAAGGCATCTGAAGATAATAAAAAAAATCTAAAGATATTTTTGAAAATAATGTATTGTTGGTATATTATTGAAATAGTAATGAGCAAAGACTGCTTCATAATTTGCGGGGTTCTCTGCAAAATGAAGGAGTGACACTCTTTGTTTAAAAGAAGAAAAAAAAGAGAAAGCTTTTCCTGTTTTATATTATCTTTTCTTGTCTTATACTGTCACCTGTAATGGTGGCTTACATATATTTGACGTTTAATGTTGACTCACTAGGTCACGGGGACATTTACAGGGTAAGTGCAGACTCTCACAGGCACCAAGCCCTCCCTGAAACTCCACACCTGGGACAAGAACATCCTGACCCAAACCTCTCCACACGTGTGCCTAGTCCCCGCCTGGGATCATGGACCGCAGCGGTCGAGGGTATGAGCTGGGGAGTGCGTGAATAAGAACCTGTCCTGGGAGGCAAAGCAGAGGTGAGAAGCAGAACCGCATACGAGCTGGCGCTCCAAGCCCCCAACACACGCTGCATTATCCCATAGGACTTCACTTACAAAACGAACTCTAAGACAAAATTATTAAGAACTTCAAGATAGCCACTGCAGGGCACTAAACCCCAAACATGAGGCCCCATTTGGAGTTTGATGTCCTGTGCAACTCTGCTAATAACAGCTCATGAAGGTAGTCCTGATAGTAAACATTGGATTATAACTTCAACTATCAAGCCATTCCACATAAGAACTAGTATTGTTTGAGTTTATAAATGTAAGCAGACCCTTAGCTATATAAATTTTGGTTTACACTGATTCATATTTATACATTTGTCAAAATGTGACAATACTTCAATAGAATTTGTTGCTTGTATTTATTTGTAATATCAGGCTTTGACCATCAATGATCATCTCTACAGGTGCTTCAGAGGCTTTGCCTCTAGAGCAGTGGTTCTCAAACTTCCTAATGCCGTGACCCCTTAATACAGTTCCTCACATTGTGGTGACCCCCAACCATAAAATTATTTT